AGCCTGAAAAGGCATCCTCCATGTGCCCTGGGACCTCAGGTCGATTTACCAACCTGGACACTTGGTCCCCAGCACCTGTGACATCCCTCAACCTCACCATTCACATCACTGGAGCTATAGAGCCAGCTTCTCAAAGACCAAAAAAATGGGCTGTCAACTCTTGGATGGGTCCTTCAGCAAGGAAGTAGAGAGGATTTAGCCAGAAACAAAACAGAAACAGTCAGAAACAGAACAGAAAGAGAAATTCCATCTTTTGTTCTACCTTTCATTTCTCTTCAGTTACTCAAGTCCACAGATACCAGCTGAACTCACAGAATTAAGGAGATGCCAGCCATAACATATCTTCTTTGGCACAAGAGTGTAAGGAAAGGCAGTTGTTCAATTATCCTTCCACTTATCTTTACAAAGTACTTATTAAAATGTTAAATAAGTTTCTTTTTAAAACATTGGTAATTTTTTTTTGACCTTTTCATAGAAGCTGATGGGTTTTACCATCTTTTGTAGCTGCTCTTCATAGAAGCTGTGAATACAGGGTTCTCCTAAAAATATTGGGGGGAGGAGGGAATGTGTGTTAAGGATTTATTACAGATATTTTAAAATAGTACTACAAAAGGTTACCAGGAAAATCAATACACTTTCATATTCTGAAGCAGTATTTTTCTTTCAAGGTGTGGACCGAACATATCTGAAGACATTATTTCAGACAAATTCTAATGCTAGGACTACACTTGTAAACTTCTGCAAACAAAATCAAAATAGTTACTGAATTTATGTGAAAGGTTTTCTGAAACCAAAAAAGTTTTTAACTGCTGTTAAAGGTTTCATAAAGGTGCTGATTCATGTCATATTATACCAATAAACACAACCCTCCAAGATTCAGCAAGCTTGCATAGGTACTAAACAGAAAAATGACAAAAAGAACCCCAAAACTAACCACACACTCCTCCACCCATTCCCAACAAAATCCATCAAAACAGTCACAAAACCAGAAGGCATTCAGCAGACCAGTTTGACAAGGGCTCTCAAAATTACTTTGAATCACTGACCTTTGCACCTTGCTCTTTCAGAACTACCAGTAGGAATTTGTGTCAAAGGTGTAACTACAAGTATTACAAAGATTTTTGATATGAGCTTCTTAAATACAGAACAAGATGCACATATTTAACGGCATAACACCACAGTACTTCAGTAATGTTTGCAAATTACTCAGTAGTTGGTGCAAACACTTTCAATAAACCAGTGTTGTTATTCTGCTCTTTCTGGACAAAGAGGTACTGAAGCTCTGGCTATTAGCACTGGCAGCTGTAACCCCCCTATATTCAAGCCCTCCAAGCTTGCCTGTCACACAGTCCAAACACAGACAGCTCCCTTTTCATGGGGAGATGCAGAAACCATCCTCATTCCAGGACCCAGGGACCATTTCTCAGGTGCAGAGGGACACCTGCACGTTGGTCACAGGCAAGGGTGGCTCTGGCCTCGTGATGAGAGAGGGAGCCTGCAGCCTCTTGGATCTACCAGGCAACTCTGAACTTAACTCTCAAAATACAGAGCTTTTAAAGATTTGAATTTCAAATCCTTGAAAGGTTGTCACCTATTAAAATGGGAAAAAAAAAAAAAAAAGTACATAGCTCCTAAGATACCTTCTTTGTGTACCAGGTGCTCAGTAGATACTTGGCAATCACTTCCTGCCATTCAGAACTGCATCATGTCAATTGGTGCAGACAGATGACTCTATCATCCTCTGCAGAAAGCAGCTATTGCTTTTAGGGGAAAAAAAAAACCTCAGTGCCATATTATTAGCTAAATCTTTAAATAATAAGTATATCAACACCACAGAAGAAGCACACATGAACTAGCACAATTTTCACCTTTTTACCCCAAAAAACAGCGAGAGAGAAGAATTTAGTATCAAACCTTGCTTTAAGCCAGGCATCATTTCAAGTGGTAAAAATCCTTAAAAGTTTGTGCTTCTTTTAGAAAAAGAAAAATTAGCTGAGGTGACACAGCTCTATTCTACTATTAATCTACTATTCCTGAGATTACATTGCCAATGCACTGCTGAATCACAGGTCTGAAATAACAGTGGGTGTGGGAAACCAAAGGAGAGATAAAACAGCCTTTAAATCCATGTATCAACCAAATGTCAGGCTCTCTCCAGAAGCAGTAGAACTTGATAACACACATTGCTGAGAGGCCAGCTAAGTGCCACCAATTAAAACCCAGCTTCTTCAATCTGCCATTCCAAGATGACCATCACAGTAATTACCAGAGCTGATACAACGTTGAAACATGCTTAACCTCCCCACATCATAACTTTCAGTTACCAGAAAAATCACCATTCACCCAGCCCCTGAACTCGCTGTGTAGGGGACACTGGCCAAGGGAAGGGTCTGCACAGTACATGGGCAGCCTGGGGAGATCTTCCTCCAGGAGGAAAATTGAGGTTCACAGGCATCAGCCACATAGGGCTGCCTAGATTATGTGAAATCCTGCAACACATGTGCCTTATTTCCTCAGCATCAAAATGCCTGAAAAAAAAAAAAAAAAAAAAGGACTGGACCGGACAGAAATGCAGATTGGACAAAACAAGAAGCTACTTTTTTTTTTAACTTTGCATGTTGTTTACCTTTTTCACATGCTTTAATCTTACTGTGAACATTACCTATAACCTTCAGACACCGAACAATGTCATAGAAGCACACAAGGGCCATAAGCAACAAGAATAATTTGATTAATTATTTGCTTCAGGACATAATTTACAAGTTTTAACTAAGGGTCAAAATGACCAGTAGAGATGAAAGAAAAGCTTCTTTTGACCTGACGCAGCTGCTTTAACTACACAATAAACTAAAGATAGCTTCAGTGGGAAGCAGGCTGTTTGTAGTTACAGCATTTATTAATACAAACCTACATCTCCAAGTGCTGCTGAAGTTTGACACACGCTTCCTGTATGACAGTAAGAAAACGTCTGATGAACAATGTTTGCAACCATGGCTCCGAATAAGGTATGCTGATGACTCAGGCATCTCTTGTAAACCCAATATATTTCTGCTTGTATGTGGTTTCTTCACATTAACAGAAAACAATTGTAACAAACTTTGAGGTCTCCAGAACAAACTCCCTTATTTGTGGACATTGGGCTTTTCTTCTTTCAAGGGAAAACAGTAAGTTATTGCTATGGTAGCCTCTCCACCTTTCATCCATCCATCAGCCCACTGGACCTTCACCGTTTGCCTTCTTACATGCAAATACCTGATCAATGTTAAAGTTTGTCATCCAATTACCTAGTCATTAGTCTCGCTAACAATGAGACACTCACTTTGGAGTCAAATAAAGCTTTTTTACAAAGTACTTTTAAGATTTGCCTTTCCCTCATTCCCTAAATGCATGCAATTAGGGATAAAACAGGTTAAAAGCAATTGCAGATAATAAAATAATCAGATAATTCAACAGAAACAATAATAAAAAAACCCTGCCATGAAAAAAACTTGATATTTTATTCAGTTTCTTTAGACACTTTAAAAGGTGACCAACACCCACCAATGCTGATTACAACTTCAGAATTATTGCTAGCTATATTTTTTACTGCAGCATGGATTACTTGGCATATACCACAATCAATCTTCAACCTCCTTTTGGGCTTATCCTCGATTTGAAACTCAAGTGAATCTGAACTACTGACCCGCAAGCAGTAGTTTAGCTGAAAACTAAGTATCCTTCTAGTTTAGTTGAAAACTAACATTACTACTCCAGGATTATTGTCAGAAAGCACAAATAGGCAGCACTGATCAGGGTCCAGAAGGCACTTCGTATCTGACGTGATAATTACGATATATTAAGTAAACCACAAGAGGTTTTGTAAAAGATAAACTTGCTCGCGAAAGTTGTCAGATGCACAGCAGCAACATCAGTTTTCAAACACAGCAGGCGCATGTAGCAGCAAATCTGCTGCGTTAACCTGCCAGCACACCCCAACTGAAAACACTGAGAGAGGAACAAAATCAGACCGTTCAGCCCTTGCCTGCCTTCCTGCTGAAGCCGCCAAAATCACGGCTAACTACTTCCAACTATGAGAGCAGTCCTCGGCCAGACACGCCCTCCCTCCAAACAAGCTTCTTAAATGCGAGCTCTACCACTTTAACCAATTATACCCTAATCAGCACATTCCCACTGTCCACTCTTACGGCTGCAGCCATTTAACTTCCCCACCGACTATACCAAAGCACACATACCTTTATCCTCTTAGGAAGGCAGTACATGCCATTAAAACATTAATAAAAATCAGGAAAGAGGCAACAGCCATACCACTAACCAGAAGAGTTGTGTTAACCTACAAGTTACCTTTAAAACATATTATTTTAAAAGCACTGCAATTTAATTTTAGACATTTGTCTTGACAGTTCAAGGGAAGGAAAGCTTTAGAAGGTATCCTTTTTATTCTTCTTTTGACAGAGAAACATTCTCCATCGAGTCCTGGCGCACAGTAAAAGCCTGATGAGCGCCGTCATTCCCTTAACCCCGTTCCATGATGCACGTTAGCACGAGTCCCTAAACCCGGCACTTTTTCACTCCAGCAGGAGCGCGTCACTCGCTGGAAATAGCGTTCACCTTTGGCAGGCGCGGATGCCGGCGCCGCAGGGTCACGCCGGGCATGTGCAGCATCTCCCCCCGGGCCCGCGGGGGGCTCGGCCGGGACTCGGCGCTCTCGCTGCCCGGCCCCGGTCCCGCCGCTCTGCCCAGCAGCCTGGAGCGCAACAGGCCCGCCCGGGGCCGCGGGCAGGAGCCGGGGCTGCCCGGGGTGACCCGGGGCCGGCCCGGCAGCCGCCCCCGCCGCGGCTCCGCGGCCGCCGGAGCGGCGGGGCCCAGGCGAGGCCGCGGCGCGGGGAAGGCCCGGGAGAAGCCGGGCGCGGGCGCGGGGAGGGACGGCGGGAGCCGGAGCGGGCGCGGCCGGGCCCGGGCGCGGCGGAGCCGCTCCAGGCCGGGCCCCGCCGGGGACTCACCTTGGCGGCGCCGCCGGGCTGCAGCACGTTCTGCTCCACCGTCATGGCCCCCGCGCGGCTCCCGGCGGCGCCCCGGGCTCGGCGGGCGGCGGCGGCGCCGTGCGGCGGCAGCTGGGCCGGGCCCGGGCTGGGCGAGCGGGGCGGGAGGCGGGGCGGAGGGGGAGCCCGAGTCGCCGCCCGGCGCGGGGGGAGCGCGGCCGCGCTCCGGCCCCGCCGCCGCTCCCGGAGCGCCGCCCTCGGCCCGGCTGCGGCTCCCGGCGGCGCCGCCCCGCGCACCTGCCCCGGGCGCGGCCCCCGCCCGGCCCCTTCCCCGCCCTGTCACAGCGCCCGCCTCCATCTTGGCGGCTCCCGCCGGGCCCCGCCGCCCGCTCCTCCCGCGGGAGGGCTCCGCGTCCTTCGCCGGCTGCAGCGGCGGCCCCGGCGACGGCAAAGTTTGCCCCCGCCGCGGGGAAACAGAGCGGCTTACCGGTGCCGCTTTCCAGGGGATCGCCAGGGAATTTATGAGCCAGCGCTGTGGCTGCTCGTGGCCAGGGCAAACCGAATCGCCAAATGAATCACAGACCCAGGATCGCTCGGGTTGAAAGGGAGATCGCCCGCCGCAACCCCCCTGCCAAGGCAGGGTCACCCAGAGCAGGTGGTACAGGAACGTGTCCAAGTGGGTTTGGAATGTCTCCAGAGGAGACTCCACACCTTCCCTGGGCAGCTGCTCCAGTGCTCTGCCGTGCTCAACAGAAAAGAAAAAAAAAAAAAAAAGTTATTCCTGCTGTTGATGTAGAAATTAGAAATTCTTGTGTTTTAGTTTATGGCCATTGCTACTTGCCCTGTTGTTGGGCCCCACCATCCTCTTGGCACCCACTTTGGAGATCTTTGTATGCATTAATACACAGAGGTCCCCTCTGTGTTCTCCAGACTAACCAGGCCCAGCTCTCCTCATAAGAGATGCTCCGGACCCTGATCACCTTCGCAGTCTTTGCTGGACCCTCTCCAGGAGCTCCTTGAGGAGCCCAGAACCAGAAACAGTAATGGTGCATCCTGAAGTTGCAGGTCTTCCCTTTCCCTGAGGTTTGACTGGGTGAGCCGTGGTTTGACTGGATGGCATTCAGCATTCAAATTGTATGGCAATGTCATTAACATATGGGGGGGGGTAGCTGGTCTTGGCAGCCCACAGTGAATTTTGGCACCACAGATAAACAGTATTAGGGAAGAAATTGTCCTTCTGTCACCCTGCTCTGGGGTGTCAAGGAAAGGGCAAGAAAGGATTCTGCTTTGGGCATCAGCACAAGCAGCACAAGACTCAGCTGGACAAAACACGTTTGCCCAGGAGCAGGTGAAGGGCAGCAGAGAAGCCCATCTCACATTTTGAATGCCTGCCCAGTGTATGGTACCAGTGTCCCTGTTCCACTTCCAAGGCTGGTGGAGCTCAGTCTGTAGGAAAAGCTGCAGAGAACAGCACAGTTCTGAGAGCCCCAAGTACCTAAAAAACATGAGCTGGGAGCCTAATGCTACAAAATTAATTGCAGCTATTGCTTGTCTGTCACACACAGCCTTTACAACTCTGTAATCCAGAGCCCTCCTCTCCCCACAGTAGAGTATGGATCTTTTTAAAACTGACATTATCAGGTAATAACATCACTGGAAGATCCTGGACTCTAAGGAAAACACAAGCACAACTCATGACAACTTGCAACCACTGCTTCATTTCATTGTAGATTCTGTGCAGGAGATGTTGCAATGTAATCAATATTTGCACTTCTCAGGTTTGTTGCCCATAGATTGTATCAGTTTTAATGTTTTGGTTTTTTTTTTTTTCCTTTTATGCTGCAACATGAAAGGAAATTTGTAAAATTTGTTTCCAAAGAATTTATTGTGCAAAAGATAAGAAAGTATGCAGATAATATAACGGGCTCAGAAATGGATTGCAAATTACTTTACTGGAGATAGGAAAGGAAAGTCTCTGCTCAGACTGATGGCTATATGTAAGAAAGACAACAGTAGCAGCTTGGGGTTTTTCTTAAAAAAAACTTTTCTGTAGTAGCTGTGAAGGAGTGATAGTCCAATTCCTCCGTCCTCTTCCAATATATAATCATGCTTTTTCTTATACATTTTTACAGCTTCTTCACCGTGTTTTTACATGTGCTATGTTCAGATAACTCCCATCACAACTATTATTTACATTATTTGAACATATTATAAACAAATTAGCATTTAAATAAAATACAGTTGTCTTGCAATATTTTTTTCAAGTGTTTTCACTGTTTTATTTAATAGCTTTCCTGTGTCCAAAAATAAAATGTTTCCAAAAAAGAAAGAAGAAATTGTACATTTTGTTCAATTCTTTTTAAATCAGGATAAAATGACAAAGCATCACCTTCCATTAAATTCCCTTCCCCAATAAAATTCATTTTTAAGGGCTCCAGCTTCCTAACTTTCTTTAATATAAAGGCTGAGCAATCTGATTCCAAAACAGGGATTTGCCATTTAAATACATAATCTGAACCAGAATCATGCAAATGAGGATTCTGTCATACCTACAGTGTTGCTGGGAACCAGAGGGAGCAGAGTTCCCTGTTCTGTTTTGCAGCTCAAGCTCTCTATGAAGTACATTGAGTACAAGCCTGGAATTCATACCTCATCAGTAAACACTAATGATTTTGTCAGGGCCACAGTTTAAGAGGAAAATATATATTTTTTTATATATGTGCATATTTTCACAGAAGTTTGTTAGGTTTCCCCATAGTTTTTCCTCACCTTTTAACAATATTGCAGGGTTTGGCTGCTACCAAACATGGTTTGGTTGTTAAACAGTTTGGTGACATGTTGCACAACCTGTGCCTCCAGCTGCTTGTTCCCCTGAGCAAGGCTCCCCCTCGTCTGCACCTCCTGCTCACCAGCGGTGCTGGAGAAGTGATTCACTTGAAACACAGGCACAAACTCCCCTCCCCACTAAACTGGTTGTTTTCTTCTGCTAGATAAGTTCCCCAAAATGGTTCACTGACTGGCTACAGGAACAGCTGGGCTGGCCCAGAAGAGAGGGTGACCCAGGCTCAGTGATGGTACCCATCAAGTTTCATTTCACCTATTTCTAAAATCAGTAAGTGATTGTGCCTTCCTGATCTGCACACTGCCAGTTGGAGGGAAAGCCTGTGCCTGCTCACAGGAATCCTTGTTTCCCCATTTTTGCAAAGAGCAGCCAAAACATCAGCCAACCACAAAACACTTTAGCACATGTTTTATTGTATACAAAGACCATGTACAACAAGAAATAGCTCATTATTTCCCTCCATTTTCAATAGACTTGGGTTTGTCTTTAATTAAGTGCAACATGCATTTAGGGCTTTAATTAGACTGTGGCTGCATAAGTTACAGCTGGGAAACAAAAGTCAGGACTTCTTGGTTTTCTTTTCCCAGATGTGTAACCTGCTATACTGGGGATGAGAAAGCACTGCTTTAAAAAGCACAGGGAACGCTACAAACACAGGTTCTGTAGTTAACCCTGGACAAGAGCTGCCCAGGATTCACATTTATAAACCCCATCTTGGAGCACTTTCACTTAGGCCTTTTGGCTCTGCAGTAAATAGTTCAGCCAACTGACAAAACCACGGCCATTCAAGCAGCTTTTATAGCATGAAACTTTTGAAATCATCGTTTGGCAATTACTCCCTGTGTCACTGGTAACCATTCAAGCATTGCTTTGGCACCTGCAAAATCTCCTGGTGGTTATCATCCAAGGCAACCAAAACAAAAACTAACAAAATTTGTAACTCAGGAAAAGCCTTCTTAAAAGTCTTCTGAAAGCCTTTTGAAAATCTAAAAGTAAAACTAAAATGAGGTGAGCATAGGTCTTGTTGCTATGCAAAACACAACTTCATATTCCATTGTTTGTTGACCTTAAATTGAAGGTTCCTGACCTTCTAATTTTTTCTTGACAGCAGATGTCTATTCATTCACGTGTCTTCTTAAAGTCAGGTGCTACATTCAAAAATAAAAATTCTCAGATTTAGACTCCTGAGTTCATGTAATTGCAGCTGAATTCCACAGAAATTATGGATTTTACAAGAACCTAGTTAACGTGCCCTTTTTTACCCTAGCTATCTTCACACTTCATTTTACTTTATTATTTTATTTATTTTATTTTATTCTTGACCACCCTTGCATATTGATCATATTATTTGACACAGCTTTCCTGAGAGACCATAATATTTTTTTGTATGCAGCTGAAAGTAATTCAGAGCTCAGCAACAGGTAGTAGTCCTTCCAGTAGGCATTACCCAGTGTTTTTCAAGGACAAAAAATTACAGTACTGTTCCCAATATACTTATTTCTGTTATTGAAAAGGTAACTCATTTAAACAAGCATGTTCACAACAAATTACTATTTCCACTGAATTAATTTTAAGCAAAATAATAATTAATATTCCCCCTGGTTTAGACTTTTGTTGCTATAGGACACGTGAAAGCACGATGCGAACCACCTGCTATTTGTAAGGTAAAGAAGAAGGTTTATTTTTTAACTCTAACTTTTATACTTTTCTAAAGGTGACAGTGGATTGGAGAGTGAATGGGCCACCTCTCCAAAGACATTGGACAAACTATTAGTACATTAAGTTTCTGCACCCCCATGAAGGAATGCAAACCAATATAGAAATTGTGTGGGAAAGTTTTCTAACAGAATGTAAACTCAGAAGGCTTTAGAAAATCCTAAGAATCAGGGTGACAGACTTTACCTAATGATTACTTATAATGTGTATTTTGAAACTATTTCAGCTCAAAAATTATTGCTTTTAGCACGATAAGTGTGTTACACTCATATTCTAGGTCTAAACAATTTATTTTGGATTACAAAGTAATCAAGCCAGTTCTACATATTTTTTCCCCCATTCTTACTTTGCATGTATTTTTTCAAGTGGCAAACTCCCAGTTCTTCTCTTCCATTCATCTTCTCAGTCATTTCTTGCTTTTTGTTGAAGCAAAAGCTCATTGACCATGATGACAGCCTATCACAACTCCTGGACAAGATTCCCATACATGCAGGCCTGTAAAAGCATGCTGCACTCCTCCTTACATAAATAATCACAGACAATTGTTTTCTTAGATAATGACCTTACATT